CCCCAAAACCCCAAAACCCCTTAAAAGAGAATTTATAATGTTGAAGAAAATTAAAGAAGAATTATAAAATTGATAAATAGATTAGTACATTTTGTTAGAGCCTATTGGTCAATAATGTAAGGAATTTAAGTTAAATTAAAACTATTAGATTTAGAATGGAAAATTATTGAGATTATTTGAAATGCAATGATCGCTTAACTCAGAAGTAGAGTATATTTATGAAGAATCAATTGTGTCTGGTGAATCCAATTTCGAAGAAGGCCAAAGAATATACACAAATTTTATACATTAAAAGAGAATTAAACAATAGATGAAAAGCAACAATATTGTTACTCTCAATCAAAGACAACAATTAATGAAATCAAGCTATTAGTTAGTTCAGTTTTCTCAATAATCAAAGATAAACATAAGGATTATTCATTCATTTTGGCAGAATTATGGCCTTAAGAGTTTATACTCATGGCTCTTCACTGACAGCAAACCTTTGCACAACAGACCAAAGGACACCAAATAGGGCAGAAAATTACCAATGCGATGGCTTTTAGTACCTTACAGAAGGTCCATTTCCTACCCTGCCTTACTTTCTCAATTTCTTGAAGCAATTATTTGTTTTGGGTTAAGATTTCAACCTTTGAATTGAAAGTAATACCACATACAAGATCAGAAGGTCCTAAGTGTGTTACAAAATTATGAACAGCTCCCTTCAACTTGTTCCATCTTTCTCCCAGTCATGGATCCACTTATGTCCAAATTAAATAGCACAGCATAGTGCTCTTCAGAAACCTTGAGCAATGGTTAATGAGATTCACGAGCCACACATAGAGTTTAATCTCCTTAACTGATTACTAACTGCTGTCTCTAGCTTCTGATTCCTAATTCAAGTCTTACTTTTTCAAGGATTTATGAAATCTTTGTGTTTTGGATATTGTGAATCTCAGATGTATCTCCTCCAAGCAGGGAAATGGCAGTCAATTCAGTCTGTGCTTTTTAATCATCAGCCAAGTCTATACCAACAAATACAGTTCTAATAAACTCTTTAGGCAAGCTTGCTCCTATGGCATAGAATGCTGCACCTAATTCCTCAAAGGAAATATTTGAAGATGTATCCTAACCATCAGTGATGACAATATGTACGAATTTGTAGACCCCACCTGTCTGAAGCTAATGAATGGCAGCATTTAATTGAATCATAATCTAGACTCCTTGAGCTGTAGCATCTCTCAAGCTCGTTCCTCCATTTGGTCTAATGTTTTCCAATTTGCGAGAAAGAGTTGACTGGCTTGCTGGCTCAAAACCTAAAGCTGCAAAAAGTAGGGCGCTTTGAACTTGCTATCGATCCATTAAACTTATTTTTATAAATCTTAAATTTGGTATCTTTAAGTTGGGCTGAGTGTAAAGTGGTATCAGGGAGTGAAGCCAACTGATGAAATTTTCCTAAGGTTGCATCTACAATCCTAGCCATTTCACAAGTATTTATCATGTAATTTCTTTTAGCAGATATTACAGATAATACTATCAGCAAAGCTGAATGGATGTTTAACTTTTTAACTTTGGGAAAATTGAGGAAATCTACCATCAGATTTTTGGATATGAATTTATCTAACTTTTTTTTAACTTTTCCTTTATTTCATCTCATGGGGTTTTGGGGTTTTGGGGTTTTGGGGTTTTGGGGTTTTGGGG